TCAGCCCCGACCCGATGGCGCCCAAGCGTACCCCAGTTCATGAGCCTTCGGCCCCTAAACCCAAAGCCCTAAACCCTAAACCCTAAAACCCTAAACCCTAAACCCTAAACCTTAAAACCCTAAAACCTAAACCCAAAACCCTAAACCTTAAACCCTAAAACCCTAAACCCTAAACCCTAAACCCTAAAACCCTAAACCCTAAACCTAAAACCTAAGCCCTAAACCCCCAAACCCTAAACCCTAACACCCAAAACCCTAAACCTTAAACCCTAAACCCAAACCCCAAACCCCAAACCAAACCCCAAACTTGAAGCAATGAGAGGCCCTGCGAGGCCCTGAGATTTCTGAATCCTGAACCCAGCACAGAGCAACGCCCTGCGAAGCCGAGGCCCCAAAAAGTTTCCTCCCGAGATCCGGACAGGTCTGGTTCATGGCCTTCAAGAGTTGCGCAGAAGCTCCGCTGACAAGAGGGTTTAGGATTTGGGTGGTTGTCAAAATTATGGTCCCCTTTTTTGGGTCCTTATTATAATACGGCACCTATTATTTAGGGTACCCCGAAAGGGACCATAATTTTGACAACTACCCATTTTAGGGTTCAGGGTTCTCACCGGAGTCGGGCCATTGAGACTTTGAGGGTTTAGGGTTTAGGGTTTAGGGTTCTTGCGCTGGATGTTTGGGGCATGGACGGCTTCGTTTCCAGTTGGTTTCAGGCCTTGGAGGCATTCTGCGATTGCTCCACACACAAGATGTCTTACTCTTGGAGGTTCATGGGTAGTTATACATGGGGTTATGAGTAGAGTAACTATACTTATAAGCCATATTAGGGGACTTCTAACCCCACNNACCCATGAACCTCCAAGTACAGCATGACCAGACGAAGTGAATCACTGGGTGTTTGGTTTCAGAGGTTATTCGGATTATTTTTCTTTGGGGGGTCATAGCTAGCATTACCTGTGTGTATGGTTCACCCCAATTCATGTTATGACATATAACCTGAACTAATTCGTCTCCTTAGTTTTCGATCTCAGTAGATGCTTATTTTCTGCTTGCAGTTATAGTATGAACTGTTTTTTGGTGGGATGTGGTTGGACGGGTGAACCATACGCATCAAGCTATGAATCCTCTTACCTTGATGCTACATAACGCATCCCAAGGTGTACTCCAATGATTCATGACACCCCATAAAACCTAAACCCTAAACCCTGAACCCTAAACCCTCAACCCGAAACCCTAAACCCTAAACCCTAAAACCCTAAAACCCTAAACCCTAAACCCTAAAACCCTAAACCCTAAACCCAATTATCAAGACTCC